TTCATAATATGTCGTCGTGACGTCGTCGTCTTGCGGGGGCTGATGGCACAACACAAGAGTACTGCAAGTTGCGACGTCCGGGACTAGGCACGCATCATTTCTCGAGGACGGGCTGTGTGCTGGGTAATGTTGGGTAGCCAAAACATGATCATGTGAGCAGAGCATTGAGATGTAGTCCAATCCCAAGTCCAGAGCTCGTTCTGTGGTTGAGTGATTTAACTCATTTAACCATTCCTGTGATTTTGGAGTGTGACGATGGTTCGCACATTTGGCCTAGCTGCCATAGCTGGCGATGTCAGCCGCCATGTGTCAAAACAGTTGCTATCAATGGGACAGTGGCATCGGCTTCCCAGGCACCAGGCATGCTGGATGTAGGTTGGAGGCCATCACTAGTGCCATCGCTAGTGCCGTATCATTCAGTATCTCCAAAGGGCCCAAGCGGCCCAAGCGACTAGGGCACCGATGTCGACAATGGCATCACCATGTCAAAATGTCATGAGGCCCGTCTGACAGATGGAGCACTAATGAGCACTATAGGTCTTGCACCCCTGGGGCGTCCATCACAACTGTAACTGTATATATAATATACTCTTCTTGCCAAGCAGCTTGGCTTTGGGTCATAGCACCATGGTATCGGAGAACGAACTTGCTTGACGTCGCTCGTTCAGCTCGCTCCGCTGGAAGCTCGCCGAGCCGAGCCACGACCCGGCCAGGCCGTTTGCATCTTGGGGTGTGAGCTCCAACGACCCTGAGCAGGGCCGACGCGACGCGTGGAGTAAACACCACGGCACGAGCTCTGCTTCCGGGGAGCGCGAGTGTAGAGAGCGTAGAGAGCGGGGTTTTAGACAGGCAGAACCACGACGGTGGGATCTAGACAAGACTTTCGATTGAAACAGTTCTCAATGTGGGGTCAAACACAGGCAGGCAAAAAAGGCATCAGACACCTCGAAAAACCATGGTCCACTCTGCTCCAAAACGATCAAGCTATTCTGGAGCATTTGGCTGTCTTCCTAGCCCAAGGGTCATGTCAGCCCTGGCCATTTGAGCTGTTTTCATTGGCTTCCATTGCTCGCCCACCGTTTACTGAGTGTCTTTCTTGTTGGTGGACTCAATCGCTCTGTGGAGTGGTTAGCTGTCAGCATTTGCAATCGCTCGTTGTTCCTCCAAAAAACGTTGAGAAGAGGAAGACCCCACCCTGCCACGTCTGGTGCGGTCGTCTGGCCTTTAGGGACCTTTTAGATTTGTAGAGCAGCATTCGACCAGCGGCGACGGGTGCGTCGCCTGCCACGTGCGGCGGGGCGCGGAACCGGCGGCGTCCACCGACCGGGCCGTTTCGTGTCGCGGCCCGGACCGTTTCCATGATCTCCATGATCTCCGTGGTCAATGTTTGATTGGTGAGGCATATGTTCATACGATCCCCAAGGAACTGATGGGTCCGATCAATCTTCACGTTCAGTGGAATGTGTTTATACAATGTTACGTATCCATCTAGCATGTGACTTCCAATCGACAGGAACACGCCGTTGCGTCGAGTGCTGTGCCGAGCGGGGAAGATGCGTGCTCATGATCCATATCACCAGCGGATCACGAATGAAATAGGCTGGGCTGGATCATAGCGTTCCATGGTAAATCTATGGACTCAGCATATACACGCTATAAACCTCCCAGAGGCATCCAGAAGCAGTGTTCAAAGGTCGTGCTTTTCCTTTACCAGGCATGTGATTCAGTTTCGTTCGGGCATGTGTGTGTGTAGATGTGTGTAGTTTAAGGGCAGTGTTATTTGAATGGAGGTGGTTGGATTGTCCGGCCTTTCAAATGTTTTCTTCCTCTTGCACCTTTGCATCCAAACAATCTGACCGGTCATTGCAAGCTGCTGGAACTTGATTGCTGAGTATTGATGAATGACTAGCTCTGGCATTTGGGGTGCAGCCAAGTCAACTTCGCCCTGGGATAGCTTCTCTAGAGCTGGTGATGTAAGTATGTCATGAGCGCCCACGTGGCCAACGAGGCTGTGCTTAGAATGGCAGGCTCCATGCGATGGCGGCAGCAAGGGGTTCAACCTCTACAAGTCCAGTCTGACCCAGTAAATAACCAAGTCGTTTGGTTGCTAGAAGTTCTTTACATGACCAACTCCAGTAAAATGAAGTCAAAGTGACCTGTGGATTCAACCGTTTTGTATCGGGAAGTGGCTCCAAGTTCAGCAAAGATCGCAACCTGGGTCGTTTGAGGTCGGGGCGCAGTCGGACGAGTTCAGAGGAAACATGGAGTAACACTCGTCACCAGCGGGGACAATCTGGGAGTTTCGTTTGACTCAAGAAATCCATGAAGTATCCGGCCCACTCATGAAGTGTGAGAGGACAATACCCGGATTGGGGCGGGGTTTCACATTGTTCCTCTCATGTTCTCACACAGAGGAAAGTCATGGAAGGTCGTTTTTGTTCTTTTCCGGTTGATAGGGTTGCTGTCAACTGCCGGGTGGTGCCAGCCTTCCTTGTGTCGGACTTTGATTAGCTTGTAATGTAGACTTTTGATTATACTGTATACTTCAATATGAAGTTTTTCAATCCATGTTTGGGGGGATTAGTAACCAATACTTGCTTCCCAGTCTTCACAAGGACCCAGGAATCTCGCTACACATGGAGCCTGCACTGGGTTTCAGGCATTACCAGCGAAGTCTGAAAAAACACTGGTGTGGCCCATGATCTGCAGGGTAGTTCGGAGGGATTGACCCGATCTCAGTTGATTGTTGTTGGGAATCTACGGGTTGTTCATCGATTGGCTGGTTGGCTGGTTGAGTGGTTGGATGGGTGGCTGATTGGCTTTGCTGGTGCTGGTAGGCAGGTAAACAGCTAGGAAAGCTTTTCCCTGCCCATTCAAGCAGCCAGGTTTGTGGAGTTAGAAGGTGTGGAAGATGAGAAATAGTTTCACGACCTCCATGCACTAAATCGGTGCTCAATCTTCAGTGGGACTAGTATTGGTCGCCTTCTCCCATGTTAGGTTCCTTAGTCCGAAAGTTCGCATGGTGGCATGCATTTCTTGAAGAAGGAGACCCACAAAATCCCCTGAGAGGAGCAAACATGGACTCAAACACACACTTAATCAAGAAAACAAAGCAACAAAAACAATAGGTCAAGTCAAGAAAACATAAAAGCAACATACAGCACGACAATCAAATAAAATTGACAAGAACAACACAAGGTAAAGCAAGAGAAAATGCATGAAAATGCAAAGTCACAGGACAGAGAAAGTGAAATGCAACAAGGAAAGCATACGTGTTACATACATCTACATGGCGGTCTTCCTGCTTCTAATGATTTAACACACCTTATATAGCTCCCTATATAGATTCAACTACTTCCTCAGATTCTCCAGTCACCTGATCCCCTCACCATGTTTGATCCTAAACTCAAGGTGTTGCATGTACCAAATCGCATTAGGGTTGTAGTGATTTGAGTGGAATTCCCGGTCCCGAGTCCTTCAATCACCAGATGAAGTCGAGTGATAGGCAAAGCCTTTGTCAACTGTTTGGTGATTGGGGCAGTTGGTCTCGGTGTGGATATATCAGTTTGCACTTTGCAGTGCTTGGGGATTTTGGGGGATGTGTGTAGCTATGGATGGACTGGGACAAGGAACTCCTATCATTGTCTCCCAGCTTGTTTCATGTTTATCCATGTTTATCCCATTTAGACCTTAAGATATCAGATCTCCGGTTTAACACCTCTGCCTCTCACCTCTTCTCCGACACCGGATGGGGGCCTGTTCAAACCAACGATCCCATAGGAACCTGCGGGACCGGACGACAGAAGGCGACCCGACCGGTCCGGTCAGACCGGTGTCGGTTCTCAGGACCGGTCGGTGAAAAGGAATTGTTTGGCCAGAAGAGTAGTTCTATAAGTGAACCGCTTAAGTAGTTCTATCAGCATTTAGTAGTTCTTTTTTATTGGTAGTGGATACCCGAGTTACTCTTCTGAAAAGACCTGTGTAAACTTTTTTTTAACAATTCCTTGTGTCTGAACTGATTCTCGTGACCAGCACCTTCTCTCAGTGGACCACTTCATGTATAGTCGACTCTTAAATTAAAACAACATCATTTGGCGATTGTAAAGCCTCTTCTACCTCCCGCGGCCACGATGGATCCCCTCCTTTGAGGTGGCCAGTACCGCCAGCATTCCACTGGAGTGGTATACGAAAATGTCATCTATACAAGAAAGAGAAGCTACATGAAGGTCAGCGAAACTCCGCAACTGCAAAAGCCCAGGAGGACATTGCAGCACCAGTCACTTTCCGTGGTGAGCAAAGTCAAAGCCTCATCCGAAAAGTAAGGGCGGCACCCACACAACGAACCTGGTGGCATGGACTTGCCCCAAGTATGTGCAATGTGTGGTTGATACTGTCCCGGAGTGATATCGAAAGAGAGCTGTTTGCGACATGGCAAAGGAAGATTTGATCCATTTTGCAAGGTGCTGGAAAGTGCAGTGTTCATCACTGAACTGTGTGAACGGTAGTTTCAAGAAGACAGATAAAAACCGCAAGTTCCGTGAAAGAAACTTTGAGCTCAGGGGATTCATGCCATCGCAAAAGATGGGTGAAAGTGCCAAAGCTCAACCAATCAAGTTCCTTAATCGGCCATTTTGAGGGGACTAACGGCCACTCATGCATGACCCTCCATGTAAAAAGAGCAAGATCCGATTTCCACGGAAGATTTGGAAATTGGGCCTGGGGTTCCAGGGCCTCCTCAAGACGTTCATCGTCCGATTCTTGCACCTCTTTTTTTGCATCTTGCCCAAGCAAAAAGCATAACCTGGTGAGCCATTCTTGTCGTTGCAAAACGGCTGCGCACAACTCCGGGTAAATCTTTTCATGTATGAGGGGTTGAAATATGATCAACCGTCTACAGAGTCTGCAGACTCGTCTTTTTCAGGGTCTGCAGACTCGTCACGTGGACCACTTCAGTGGACTGTTTTGGAGGCCGCTGACAGTGCCCGTGCCCATTCTCGGCTCACAAGTTCCATCGTGTGAGTCGACCCATCTCCGCGGCCATGGTTCAGGCGGAACGGTTCCCAAGGGCGTGGCGAACGTTCGGCAGACATCCTGGAAGAAGGAACATAGCCCCCCCACGTTGTAATGACACGGCATGTTGTTGCTGTTGTCGTTGTCGTTGTGGTTGTGGTTGTTGTTGTTGTTATTCAAAAACGCTGAAATGATCAGGAATATTTGCTGCCACGTTGCAGCCTGCTTGGTGAGGACAATAGTACATGAAATTGACCAAATTGACTAGCGCCGCTAGTGATTGGGATCCCAATGTTTGGGACGACTCTGCTTTTGATGGCGAAACCAAGGTTCTATAATTATCCTTAGGGCAGCTGATCCGATAGTCTGACATGTGGACAGATTTACTGTACATTGTCCCACGAAGAGGGCCTGTGCATGTCACTCAGAGGCAGAACGACCGGAACGACCGGATTAGCTGTGGGATTGTAGAATTGATGATGGATGAAATCCCAGGATGTGTATTGCTTGAAATACACTAACTTCTTGTGGTGGGAGGTAGGTCGTCAAGGAGACCCTGCATGGTCCCGGCCAAGAAGATTCCGCAGCAAATGACGTTGTAGTGCGCGTCTCTTGCCACGCAGGCTTACCTTGCCATTTGCTTGTGGTTCTCCTATAAGTACATGCTGTTACATGCTATACTAATATGTTCTAACAACAGAAAGGTGACAGGACGCTAGACAAGTCTGAATCTAGCAGTGTGAAGTGAGATTTTCATCCCTCTTGCTTTCAGGCCAAACAGTGGCGCAGGGAGCAAGTTTGCCTTGGCCTCGTTGGAGTCCCAGGGCCAGGGGACTGGTTTTCAGGACTGGCCATGAGGTATTTCTTTGACCTGTCTAGAGAAAGCTCCAAGTGCACACAAGTGTTAGGCTGACAACATGGCCGCCTTAGAGGTTCTAAAGTTAAAGGACCATCAACAATTTGGTGGTACAGCATGGTGAAAAGATCAGACCAACAGCATAACAGCACAAATCTGGAAGTCACCAGCCTGGGTAGAACAAACATGGTGCTCGAACAGGCTCTTGAAATGGGTCATGACAAAAAGGTTACCTTCCGTGATCCCCACCTTGACATTGATGTACATACTTGCATTTCATTTGATATTTGGCATTTGTATCCTCTTGCATTCTCACATTCTCACATATAAGCCGACAGGGCTGGCTGAGACAGGGAAGAAGGAGGAAGGCAGACAGACTGAGGAGTGGGAGTAAGGAGGAGGAGGAGGAGGAGAGGGAGGAGCATGACACTGACATAACACCTGGACCAACATTCTGGGTGAACACAGTCCATCTTCACTTTGGCGGTTTTTCCCTTGGGTATTTGGAATGGCGTCTCACGAAAGACCTCTGATCTTCAAGCAAAGCTCCGATAGAGGAAATCAGTGCACATGGTACAACACAGGGTCCTGCATTTCCGCATTGGACAAAAACTATGGTACTGTATTGAAATGTACTTGCAGGACACACCAAACTAGCAAAGCATAGCAAAACTGCTTTTCCTGGAGTCATTTGTAGGCAAAGCGGTCTAAATCTGCACCGAACCCCTCCTTGGCTTCTTGCGCTACCTCGGGCTGAGAAAGGACGTGGATCGCTGTGAGTGGCACCCGTCGTTCCGCTGACACAGGCGGCGACCGCCTATCTCGGGCATGTGTCGTGCCTCGGCTCATGGGTGACTCGCGCGTGGCTTTTCGTGCGTGGCAACTGGGAGGGCTTTTTGGGGTGCTAGGGCAGCAAGAGCCCTCCCAGCCATTTGGGAGCAACTGGGCCATGGGAGGGCAACTGAGCAATAGGGACACTTCCCAGCCGTTTGCTCCTACTAGTAGCGTTCGTAGCTTCCTAGTAGTAAGGCCAGGAGCCCCGTTCATAGCTTCCTTGCTCCGTTCGTAGCGATGCCCTTTGCTCATATAGTAGCCATACAAAAGGAGAAGACCAACTTCGTTGATCCTCCAAGCCGGTGGACAAACCCAACATGGGGGGAACCTGGATAAGAGACCTCAGAAGGAGAAATCACCATGTGTCCATGTGCCCAAAGCTTCCTCGATCTGAACATGCTGATGTCTGTGGAACTACGAAGAAACCGAGTTCCCAAGTCCAGCTGTAAACCGAGTACAGCTCCTTTCAAACCCGCCTGTTGTCCCGGACGGAGAACATGTGCAGTTGTTGAACTTGTAAGGTCGTGTCATCCAAACCTCTAAGCTGCACCCTGGGGAGATGCTACAACCACTCCCCTGGTGACATCCACTGACCTCAACCCCAGCCCAGATTTGAACATCCCTAGTCGTGTTTGGAAACTCCAAGCTGTTTTTGCTTTCTTGGGAGTGTCCAACGTCCAAGCACCTGCTAAAGCATGGCCGCATGGCAGCATGGTCAGCGTCCAATGGCCACCACCCTGGCGGCCCGGCGGCCCGAGGTTTGTGGCTGCCCGCGACACACAAACATCGCCGGCACTGAGGTGCCGGCTTGGCTTTCAGTACTAGGGGGACCGTACTGGGTGGATAAAATCCATGGCGTTTGACCCAAGACTTTATCCAGGTGCCAGCCTCTGAGCTACCTAACAAGCGGGTCTGTCCCTTAAAATCATCCACCCAAGAAAGCCTAGGGAGCCACTCTTTTAGCCACGGGGTTTGACCGGTTTGACCTGTTCCAGCCCCTTCCAATGGGTCAACCCTGGCAGCCAGGTTGACCTTCTCGGTGGGGGGGGTTGAAGCAGTCAACCCTTGAAGCTGCATTGTTGGCCGGAACTTGAACATCACCCCCTCAAATTTATTCACGTGATCGGCTGAGAAAGGGGGTCAATCCCCCCAAACAAACAATGTACAGACCCTAGGTCCCAGTACAAGCGGGTATTTGCTAGTCATGTAGACACTTAGATGATGCTTCACCCCCCCCAGGCCTGAAGAGGGTTTACCATCCATCCTTGGTTTTGTTGTATAGGTGTCACACCATTGTCCCACCACAACCCGCCAAAACACCTGGCAAGGGGGTTTATTCGTCGCGCGCGAGTGTCATCGAACGACAGTCCGCAAGTTCGTGCATCCATCCTTTTTTTGGGGGTCATTTCAAGAGAGTTCAAGAGTACGGTATGAGATGTATGAGATTGTGTGAGCTGTGAACGCGTTCCCCTTCTCCAGCCGGAGCTTCGTCGTTCGAGCCAGGGCCACCTGGCGGGGCGAACGGAGGGGATCCGAACTGGGAGGCGCCGGGCAAGGGAGCGACGTTTGGATTGATTCAAGTTGATGGTCATAAAGCCTTTCTCATGTTGGAAACACACTCAAGGGAGAACGCGAGCAGAATGTTGAGAGATCAGAAAGAAGACATGAGGAAGTGGACCGGACCGGCCCTACTTGTTATGAAGAGGTATGAACAAACGTATGCAAAAATCGTCCCTACACCTATCCAAACCTTTTTGATTGGGTTGAGGATCTTCTTGGGCTCCAACTTCCCAAGGTGTTGTTGGAGCGATGGTCTCCAACCTAATGGCACTGGCGTCCAACCTAATAGCAATGGCTTCGAACCTAAGAGCGATGGCTTCGAACCTAAGAGCGATGG